GGCCGGTTCCACCCGTTGAGCCCACGAAGCCCGGGACCGCCAGAGCCCAGGCCCATGAAGCCCAGGCCCACGAAGCCCGGCCCGTTTGGCCCACGAAGGCCTGTGCCCGGCCCAGAATATAGCACTAATCTCAACTCCATACCTTTTGAACTACCCCATCCATCATCCAACGTATCACTAATACACATATCCCTTCGTACACTTCTACAACCGACACCTTTGCTTGGGCCCTCACTAGGTACGGTACCTTCACCATTAAATCCCTGTACCATCAGTTACTACCGCAGTCATCCAGTCACTCCTTCAAATGGATTTGGAACCTCCACATACCTTCTAAAATAAAATATTTTTTATGGCTATGTGGTCACAATCGATTACGAACTGCGGCACATTATCACCATATAGGCCTTCTCCCGACTGACCTTTGCGACCAATGTCAGATCAGCTCAGAATCTCTCCAGCATCTACTCTTTCAATGCCCACTAGTTGCACACTTATGGTCTGACTTTCATATGACTCGGGAAATTGCAACACTATTTGCTACACAATGCGAACCCCCCTATTATGTGGTTGAAACAACTCATTTTACACAATGACGTTCCTAACTCCTTTAGTGTACCTAGCTCCATTCTCATTCCTTTTTTGCTATGGCACATATGGCTAGCTCGAAATGGAAAACTATTTCGAGCCCAATCTACTCCACCCTCTTCATCTCATATTTTGAATATGGTCGCCGAATACTACTATTTCTTACTGTTACACCACCATCCTCCCACGACCGTCTACCCCTTTATATCAAATGGCATCCCTCTAACTCCACCCCTTTTAAACTCAATGCCGACGGCTCCGCACAGTTACCCTCAAGACAAGGCGGAATTGATGGAGTAATCCGTGATTCATCTGGTACTTGGCTTATGTGTTTTGCAGGTTACCATTTCTCTCACGGGAGCATGGACTCGGAACTATCCGCACTTTATCATGGGTTGAAATTACATGGCTACAAACCACTAGAAGTGAACGTAGATGCCCAGACTATCATTAAATTACTGCATACATCGCATCCACTATATACTAACATTGTTAATGATTGCAGGCTTCTACTCACACAATTGGATGATCCAGCTGTACTTTACACCTACAGGGAACAAAATCAAGTTGCTGATCTACTTGCAAAGTTTGGTAGCCAACTGGAGAGCTCTGCAAGACTCATTGTATATACACAACCACCCCGTTTTGTTAAAACAACACTAAAGCTGATCGCTTGGGTAAGTTTTTTGTGGCTCTACCATCTCTTCCTACTAGTAGTAGTTTTTCCCCGAATGCCCCTTTTTGTTACGATTCATCGTGAGGTCGCCCCATAGGACTCTAAATAGATTGACTACAACTACTTGTACTATTACTAATATGTTTTAATAGAATAGAATGTTATCCTTTGCACACAAAAAAAACGTTGATATGTTAAATGAGTTTTATCTATTCTTGCTTAGGGGAAGTCTTGGCAGCTAACTACACAAGAAATTGTGCTACTACACCAAGTAAGAAGAACCAATAAATCATCCCATAAGTTCGTAAATCTCCAATAATACTTCTTTGTACAATAAGGGATCGCTTGGTATGTGGAATAAGATGGAATAAGGCGCAGGTAAAATACAGGGAAACTTACACAAATATCTCAAATAAGTCTCAACTTATCAACCTTTAGCCATTAATTATAGACTTACCAAAACTAGCCAGACACATATAAAAATTGAAAAACCAAATTCTTCCACATTTTTAAGCGTGATTAACAACATTAGATGCAAGACGGAAAGGAATTTCATGGATTAGGTAGCAAATAAGGTGATGAAATACAAAAAAAAAGATACAATATTCAAAAAAATCTAAGCAAAAAAGGAACTTTTTCAAGGGGTATAGTTGAAATTCATTGAAAACATATAGATAAGTCAATATACAAAATTTGAGAAAGATTGTACGTGATTTGGACTGGTTTTGTATCAAAATTCGTAACTAAATCGAGTTCAAAAGATTCTTCTGCGACACCTGTATCAAACATGTATCATGCATGTATCTCACACACAGATATACATGGATATACATGTGATACACAATTGATACAACTATGATACATATGTGATACACAGTATGATACACATATCATTTTTTTCATGTTCAGTTTTACTTCGAATTTTCAATTCAAACCACCTCAAAACTTCACCAAATCATCCCAAAACTGAGATTCAAGCTCCTTAAGATGTACTCAATCTATTCTAGTAACACTCACTCAAAAGAAAGCAAAAACTTGACCTTTTTTTTGTTACAAATAGCTAATTGGCTAATATTAGTAATAGTTAACTTTTATGAATTGACCAATTTTTGTAATGAGCTACTTATAAATGGACATAGGTGGCAGTATAAATTTATCATATCTTATCCCATCAAATTTGGTATTATGTTATCCTATTTTCTAAGTGGTATAAACAATCCATGCATTACAATTCCATAATTATAATTCCAGAATAATTTAGTCCGCGTACCAAACGACCCCCGAAACACCAAATATGTAAAATCCCATAAATATCTATATTTACTTTTGCCTTAAGTTTGCTTGCTTCAAAGTTGTTGCAAGTTTCACGCATACGTAAAGTGGCTAAACTTGTAAAAACACAGAAACTTTGGCTATGCGTTAAATGGAGATCCTGAAATCGGCTATATGTGCACTTCTTCCTCCCTAAGGAAGGTGACTAGGTAAGCTCGCTCAGATCCCACAGGTGGCCATGAGGAGCCGGAAACTATGGCAGCATAAAACGATGATTTTCAATGGGACGATGGAATTTTACCGATTTTACAGCTCGAAACCAAAAGTGGATTTGAAGAAGCTAAGGCCAATGATTCTGAAGAGGATTGAGAATCGGGCTAAAGATTATCCAGTAAAATCCATGGTTCCTGTTGCTGAGGAAGTCCTTAAGGCTCGAACTATCCTTTACCATGGCGTTTCTGCCTTAATTCAACGTTTCCCTACTTGGGCATGCAAGTAATTTCACCCCCTTTTGCTCTGTTTATTTGATTTAAGCCTATTTATGTGTTAAAGTTGTTATCTTTATTCGATCTTATTGCTGACTTTAGATTGAGGATAGTTTATGCGTTATTTTTTTTTTTTTAGCTTATAGGGGTTTTGAAGGGTTCTGGATATGCCTTGGGACCTCATGTGGAAATAGTAATCAACTTTCTCTGTCCCAATTTATGTAGCACTCTTTTCTTTTTAGTCTGTTCCAAAAAATATGTCACATTTCTATATTTAAAAATAATTTAGCTTAAAAGTTTTCATTGTACCCTTAATGAGATGATTTATAGCCATACAAATATCTAAATTTTGTTCTAGACCACAAGCTCAAAAGTCTTCTTCTCCTTTTTTAACTTCGTGCCAAGTCAAATGGTGCCACGTAGCTTGGGATAGAGGGTATTGTTTGGGATGGATTAAAGATTATGAAGCTTTTGTTTTTAGGGGACAAGTGAAGATTATGAAGCTTTTTGAATGTGGAGATTGAGCGAAGTAGTTTAAGTAAATAACCATCAGGCCAGGCTTAGTCATCTTAGGTTCCGGAGAAGTTTATGTAGCTGCAGAAATCAAAATAGTGAAAGAACTTTGGGAACTTAGCCCAAAGAAGGCCAAGATTTTGCGATTGTCTTGCAAGCTAAATGTAATCTTCTGCATTTAATGTCGCTCAAATTTTCTGCTAGTTGAAACATTCTTTCTTTGAAGAGTTAAATTTACAGACGAGATATCTTTAGTTTGTATGGTGAACGTGCGTATTGGGACATGTGGGGCTTGAATTGGATATATTGATGTTGGAGCAAAGAGGTGCTTCAAATATTTTCAGGTTTCTGGCTTTGATAAATAGAGCAGAGGTGTTTCATCCCTTAAATAGGTACAAGATTAAGTGCAAGACAGCAAGAAGATAGCAGAGATAAATGCAACACAAAACGATAGCAAGAATTATAAAAGAAACAACGGATTTGGTCAAAACAAGAAGAAAATAGTGATGCACTTAGCAAAGTGTTGAGATATCTAGAACTGAAGATCTGGTTCAATCTGAGGCATGCCTATGTTTATCACATCCTCTTTTTCGTGGAAGCTAGGGCAAAATTATGATGTCTAACTTGTTTTTTCATAATATTTATCTACATATATTAGCTTTGAATTGATGCATAGTTCAATTAGAATTTATTCAGATAATCATCTGTTGTTTTGATGCTTGTATTAGACTTGGCTTGTTTTTTGGCATGTTTATGTCCGACTTCTAGTTGTAAGAAGCCATACCATCAGATACATTTGTTTTACTGACACACTAGTTTCTTCTTTCACTCTTAATGAAAGAAAAGTGGTACTGGACGAGACTTCTTCTAATCTCTAAAAGGGTTTTATTTTGTTGTAGATATTGTCCAGAAGTATATATTGGTGAGAATGGTCATCTAATTCGAACTTGTCATGGTTACCGGCAGCGTGCTAAGAACCAGGCTCATGAGTGGATTAGAGGAAGCTTGAATGATATTCTAGTCCCAGTAGAGGCATTTCATTTGCGAACTATGTTTCAGAACGTTATCAATCACCAAGAACGATTTGATTATGATCGCATTCCAGCAGTTGTGGAGCTGTGCTTGCAGGCAGGGGCTGTTCCAAGTGAAGAAATTGTATGTGGAAGTAGTTTGCCCTCAAGTGATCCTTTTCAAGCTGACTCTCTGTCTGATGACGATCTGTTGTTGTTGGGAAGAGAAACTCTAAAGGCATGGGAAGCACTTAGATCTGGAGTTCAGAGACTATTGTTGGTTTATCCAGCGAAGGTCTGTGAACATTGCTCAGAAGTTCATATAGGACCTTCTGGACATAAGGCTCGTCTTTGTGGCGTATTTAAGTTTGAAAGTTGGCGAGGCAGTCATTTCTGGAAGAAGGCAGAAGTGGATCATTTGTTTCCTCCAAAAATAGTATGGTACCGCCGACCCCAGGACCCTCCATTGCTCCTGGATGATGGCCGGAACTATTATGGGCATGCTCCCGCTGTTGTGGATCTGTGTACTAAGGCTGGAGTAGTTGCTCCTTCCAAGTACTATTGCATGATGAAAGTTGAAGGACTATCGGCACCATCTCTATAGCAGGATAATGGGATCTTTTCCTGCTCTTATTTACCCGATGACCAGAATGTGTGCTTAAATTGAATGAATTCTCTGAAGTTGGACTTGCTTTTGTTCATTTGGGCAACCCTACAACTTAAGTGGATATAGACTGAAGATTGTGGTTGTGCTGAATCAACGTTGTCTTAGCGCCAGAATATTTCATGAAGACAGGAGTATCTTGTAAATATTCATGGGAGGTTTATTCTTATTATACCTACTCCATTCTCATCAATGGAGTATTACAGTTTTTTGTTGACTAACCAGTTAAATCCGCCACTGGATACTTCAGATCCAAATAGGGAGAACCAAAAAGAAGTACAATGATGCACAAGGAAGAGAAAAAGCAGCTGAAAGTGATGTTTCCAGGACTTAATTTTTACTCTTCATGGTCACAAGCGCTTTTGCTCAGACCATAGTTCACATTGCATAGATTCTGCATCGTCGACATTGCTGGTTAATTATATAATCTTTTCAAGACTAGAAGCAGTTTTTACCATCTCAGAACAATTGTTCTTTCAAGATCACTGCTCTGTCAGTCTGTCTACTTTAGTCTATGGTGTTCTTTGGGATCACTTTTCTGTCTTCTAGTGGAATGAAGTTGTAACCTAACTAGGAGTGGTACTAAAGCGTGCAAGACTTACTGGTGCATATGCAACATGATATCGGACAGCAGGTAATTTGCACTGAAATGGAAGTTGATGTCCATCTCAATTTAGAAGAAACTTCTTTAGAGGTAGAATATGTCATCTAGCTGTCCGGCCCTTCCCCGGGTGCGCATAGCATGGGTCCTGCCCTTCCCCGGACCCTGCGTATAACGGTAGCTTATTGCACCGGGCTACCCTTTTTTATTTTTCATTTTCTATTATATACTGTCAACCCATTTTTGTGGCCATACATATAGTAACTTCTGTGATTCTTTTGACTCTGCATATTGAGAAAGCTGTCACTCACTCTAGTTACCTAGTAATGAAATTTTGGTTGATGAGCTGAACCTGGATTTAATTATGGTTGTTTTTCTATTATCTGAGCTCTTAAAGACTACGTATATGTAAATTTGAGGCTTTTAATCGAAGGAGCAGAAAACTTTTACAGGGTTGCATTTGATTCACAATCATTAGTTTTATTAACCACCATTCATTTAAGGGGAGAGGTGGTTGAATGCTTACGAACAGTTGCAGAGCCAAGATTTTCACTAAGTAACATCAAAATATAAAGAAGAAAACTTACGAAAAAGCCAATGGGTAATCAATACATAATATATACATACATAATATTTATCAAGCTACACAATGTAATTTTTCGATGAGGTGCCAATTGACACCCCTTGAGTACATGTGGCTCCGCCACGGTGTGCGAAGCGACAAAGGTAGCTAGACAAGACTGGAAATAACAAGATTTATGAAACCCAAATAACTTGGAATAACTTATGATTTTTCGTTATAATGACAATTGTTAGATTTAAGTCATGCTCGAGAACTTAAACCAACTTAAGAGCAGTGTTATTAAAAGCCATGCTAAGTAAGGGATCTGCTTCATGAGCAATGCCTTCCGCTTCAGATAAGAGAAAATGAAGAACAATCATTTCTGTGAATCTCAAATTTTTGATAAGTTAGAATTAATTTCGGCATTATTATATATTTTGGATGTTGAAAGTAGTTATTTTAACTGAAACTTGATGATTAAAGTACTAAAGTCATATATCTATGGTATTTCTCAACTTCCCGAATAGTGTGTGTGTGTGTATTTTCTTGGCGCAAAGTAATCGTTGCAAGTGACTTTCATTGCATATAAGCATTCACAATTGTCTGGTGTAGCTCATTTGATATGTGTGAAATGAATTCTGGCCAAAAACATGCAAAGTTTAAAACGTAGACTAACTAGTGGCCAATTCAACAGGGTGGCGTGAAGAAGAATAAGAAGAAGATGAAGTGCTCCAGCTTTGATTTACATGATTTGAGTTTCTCACACAAGTCACAACTATCCCATTTTTCAGGCAATGCAAATTGTAAGAAAATCCAAGAATGCAGTTCCTGTGAAAACATTCTTTATAATCCATGGATCTTTCATCACAGAACAAGCACTCAACAAAAACAAAACAAAAATGCAGGTGGTGGTCGAGATTATGACAGGAACAATCTTTCATGTCCAAGTAGGCGACAATGCAACAGTGCTAGATTTGAAGATAGCAATACAGAATCAAGAAAACCTTCCCGGTGATCGCCTCATCCTTTTGCTCGACAAGGATGGTGATCATATGATGATGAATGAAGATCAAAAATCCCTTAGTGAATACGGGGTCCAAGATGGCTCTCGCCTCTACGGGTTTTTTAAGCTCCCTCAGGAAGAAAATGATGACGATGCTGATACCGGTGATGACAAGGTCATGGATAAAGATAGGACTGAGAGTGATAGTGAGGAAATGAAAAATGACAACGCTGGTAATAACAGTGGCAGCTCCACTCCTAAAACTCCATATGAAGAGGATTCTGTTCAATCACCTGAGTATGTTTCAGACTCAGATTAGCTTGAATTAGCTATATGAATGAATCACTGTAGTATCCATTCTGCTTTATCCAGTCTTATTCCTGTTAGCTACTAAATTATTAAGTGTTGTATTGCAGTCACAATGATTTCCTAAAATTTGAAGTATCATCCTTCTTACATCTAGCTTCTTCTTTCTTATGATAATCTAGAAATATGTATTAGGTATTCGGGGAGAAAGAACTCGTAGTGACATCTTCATGTTTCCAGTAGACAACATGTACCATGTTTCTGTTTCCAACTTTAGCCTCGACTTTGAATTACTCCACGTTAGTAAGGGAACTAGAGTTGCATAATGGTTTCTACAGTGTGATAACAACACTATTTCTCTTCTTGTATTACTAGTCGAAATGTTAATACAGAATGCCAAAACAGAGTAAGAAATGTCACTATCCAATAAGATATCTAATAGTTTCTACAGAGTACCAAACCATCATTAAAGACCATGCTTCTACTGGTAATACATTCATATCTAAGTGCTAAATTGAAGTATCTGATAATGCAACAACTCGAAAAATCCTTGAACAGCAACGAACAATTCCTATTTGTCCAAGGATAACACAGCTCCGGGTTGAAGCTGCATCGACAAACTCTAGTACCTAAACTAAATCAAGTCATCTAGTATTTCTACATGCATCATAAAAAGGAATAATCTAAGTCATCTAATATTAATAACTATATGATTCTAATTGAGGAAGGTAACTAATCCACCTAATGGTCGTTTGATCTATTAGATCCCTTATTGTAATGCCACTGCAACTAGAATCCTGTTGTGCTTCAGTAGCTACTCAGGAGAAAAGATGAGACAAAGCACAATCCTGCAAGATTTTCGAATAGAACTACTACTATGGTGAAAGAGAGACAAGTTTTGAACATAGAAGCAAAAGTTGGTTGGTATTACACATTGATCCAAAAGGGAGAATCAACTGAGCTACCTGTATGTAAAGACAAAATAGTACGACAGAGAATATAGCTGGCCTAGCTCTCAATGTAAGGTCCAATTTCAGCAGCTGCTGCTATTATTCTGAACCATCTGGGAATGCATCCAGCGCATCCTGCTTGCCGTTGACATAGTACTCAACAACTGCTTTCATTCTAGGAAACTTGTCCGGGTGATAGTTTACATGAACTATAACCGGTTTCAACTTCTTCAGATTAGCATCTTTTCTTACAGTCTTGAATAGGACCTTGCTATTCATGAACAGATAGATATCCATTGTTCTCCTGGAAGCATAAAGGCCAACATACCCGGGATGTGATGGAAAGGCGAGCTCTTCATTGAAAACTGCCTGGTCCCAGGAATTTGGCTGCTTAGTAAGCCGATCAGCAACCCGATCTAAGAGCTCGATTGAAGGAATCGTTGGCCGGATATAAAAGAAGCCAGAATTATAAACCCATATCCTCATTGTATGTGCATATCGAGCCCAACCCATTGAAGGTTCATCGAAAACGTCATTATAACCATAAGCTGTCATATTATTGTGACCGTCAGACATTGATTCGACATCTGAATCCCGATATAAATGATCAAAAGGATTTTGCAGATACACAATATCGACGTCAGAAAGGAGGACACTGTAACCAAGCTGCAAAAACTCCCTCAAAATTCGAAACTTCAATCCTGAGACAGCATGGTTGCCTCCATTTTTTCCAATAAAATCGACATTATCATCAGGATCTCTTTTATAAAAGGGGACATCATTTTCCTTGCAGAAATCCACTATAGCATCATCCAACGCCACAACCAGATAATTGGGAATACCCACTTTTTTAATACTGTTGAACCAAACCTCCAGCATGGATCTAACATTTGAATTGGCAAGTGCAACTATGACCTCTTTGCTAACTGCAATCTCTGCCAAGATCTTTGCTAATCTTGGGTTCACCGACTCATCGGGCACAACAGGAGGGTTAGTTCTCAAACTTTTGACAGTTCCAAAAGGCCCAGCTTTCTGAGGTTGACTTGACACCACAAGTTGCTCCTGAGCACGACCGTTTCCCTGAGCAGCCACCTGAAGCTTTTGATTTAGCTCTCTCACCTGCCTTTGCAACTCTGCATTCTTCTCAGACAACTTCCTATTCTCGGAATTCAACATGTTTACCCGCTCCGTGGATTCACAATTGGATGAGCCAACCTAGGAATCAAATTGAATCTCTAAAATAATTTAACATTGATCAAGCAACATTCAAGCATTTTATATCAAGTCCAACGTAACAACAATAACCATTATCAAAGACTTCATAATCAAGGTTAGTCATATTATATAGCAATTAGGTATACAGACAAGAAGGGTTGCTTTGATGGTAAGCAACCTCCACTTCCAACCAAGAGGTTGTGAGTTCGAGTCACCCCAAGAGCAAGGTGGGGAGTTCTTGAAGGGAAGTATGTCGAGGGTCTATTTGGAAACAGCCTCTCTACCCCAGGGTAGGGGTAAGGTCTGCGTACACACTACCCTCCCCAGACCCCACTAGTGGGATTATACTAGGTTGTTGTTGTTTAGGTATACAGACACATGCATCTAAGTTCAAACATAAATCAAACAAAAAGATAAGAGCTGGACTGAATTCCTAACAGCACCCTAATCATTTCATATACATTACAACCACTTTCATGCAATTTAAAGACATAATCATTTAGGATTTAAGCTATGTACACTAACAGTGTAATAAATATTTTACATCATCAATGTAATTTAACCCGTTATAGCAGGCAACTTACCATTTAGGGATTGTTATGCAAATAGCTAGCAAGATTCAACGTTTACTTTTTTTAGCCGGTATACATAGATTATACACAATTATACATATATTATACATCGGTAGGCTAGTTTTAGTTTAAGAGATTAGGTGGGCGGCTATTTGGTTAATTCTTCTACCATCTATTTATCCTAGGTTATCAATCACTACAACTGCCTTTTAATAACATGATAGTGTAAATATTTTTTACACACTGTCAGTGCATACAACTTAAAAAGCTATTAACACAATTCAATAACAAACCCATTTCCTATATAAAAAGAAGACATACAGAAAACACATAAAAGTAAACAAATTTGCAAAAATGGCAAAGTTTCAAGACTGACCTGAAGATTGGATTTAGAAAGAGGGTGAGGTGGATCGGGAGAGAAGAATCCATTAGGATACAAGAAAGCAAAGACACAGCCCAAAAGAACACCGATCGCAATTGCTGCAGCAATTCGAGATCCTCTTATTGATTGCCCATACTTCTCCCTACGACCCGCCATTTTTCCGTCACACCCAAGACACAATTTTTTTCTTTTTTTTTGAATTACACAAAGTCCTTATTTTCTATAGCATGGTGTAAAGATTACTCAAACTTTTTAAAAATTAAAAAAGAAGAAAAAACACTGCTTGGTAAAAGAAATGAAATGCAGAAAATGGGTGTACAAGATTAAGCTGATATGGGTTTTGAAAACTTTAAAAAGTTTGGATCTTTGATTATGGAAATGAATCAAAGTCTACGAAGTCTTCTCTGTATGTAAGAGGAGAGAGTGTAATCGGAAGGGGTTCAATGGGTAGTGGCACCGCTGTGGTTAGAATATTTTATTCAACGTGGGTTTTTAGTTGGTGTTTCGCGGACCAGGTTGTTTGTAATGAAGAGCTGATTATTCTGTTTGTTCCGATATTTGTATTGGAGGCCGACTAATCTACGAGAAAGAGCTCCTTATAAGGATATTTTTTTAATTCTGAGGACTTGAATATGAGACATGCGATTATGGATGAATAGGTGGGCATTTGGACATAAGTATAAAATTCCGAAAAAGTGATTTTTTAAAAAGTAAAAATGGTATTTTGGGTTATTTTTGTTTTTTTTTTGAGCGATTTGAAGTGAAAATTTTGATTTTTTTTTTATATAGAGTTTTTCAAATTTATGAAATTTCGAAATTCATCTTCAAGTGAAAATTAAAAATTTCATGGACAAACACTAATTTAAAAAAAAAAGTGAAGAATTTTTTTTATGGCCAAACGAGTCCTAGATCTTATTCATCGGTGAACGATTGTGATGTTTATTTTGGAGTTTTTGCAAAATTGCTCTACCTAATTCTGTTGACTCTCTTAACATGCAATTGTAAGGAATGAAACACAATCTTCGTTCCACTTCCAGCCTTCTTCCCGAGGCTTATATTTGGCGAGAAATATGAGCTGTTAGTTTATTGTTTAATATGCCTCATCATTGCCTTTACAACAGAGTACAAGAAGCCACGGTTTGAAGCTTCATGTTTATACGTAAATTGGTGTTTAATTTTCAAATATCTCTGTTAAGTTTTTGTTTTTGTTTTTTCTATCTCGGGGCTTATATTTGTTTTCCTCGACTTTGTGTTACAGTTGTTGGAGGTAATTAAGAGAGTATCAAGGAACAAGAAGATTCGGTTCTTGCACAACAAATGTGGATGTAATTCAATATCCTTCAAGACATGATAAGACACAGTTGGTGCAATCTGATTTTTCGAGAGAAGAAGAAAGTTTCTTTTTGAAAGATTTCTCATTATTGTGGAGGGTGCTTGAGTTGATTAAACAATTCCTCTAGCAAATACGGCTTAAAATATTATTAAAGTAAAAAAAAAATAGTTTCTTCTTGTCACGACCCGGAATTCCCACCCTCGGGAGTCGTGATGACGCCTACTCGTAGAAGCTAGGCAAGCCACGAACTTAGAAATCTTTAACTCTTCTGTTTTAATCCTTTTTACAACTTATATTAACAAGTGATAAACATCTAAATGACAGCGGAATACGAGATTTAAGCGGAAGTCTTAAATAAATATAAAACCAAAATGTTTCGAAAGTCAGCACATGCCTCTACCCAGAAACCGGTGTCACAATATCCACAGACTACTAAGAGTACTACATACAACAGTTTGAAGGGAAAATAACATTATTTGTCTCGGATACATGAGATAACAGAACATAATAAAAGATAGAGGAGTCGCCGGGCCTGCGGACGCCTGCAAAGCTACCTCGGTGTCTCGGTGGACTGAAGGCTGGCTCCCCTACTGCTGTTGATCAAGTGCCGCTCCGGTATCTGCACAGAGTGCAGAGTGTAGTATCAGCACAACCGACCCCATATGCTAGTAAGTGTCTGGCCTAACCCCGGCGAGATAGTGACGAGGCTAGGACCAAACCCCAGATAAACCTGTGTAGTTATATAATATATGGCGGAAAATAAACAGGAATAAGCAGTTTAAAATGGGAGGGGGTACATGCTTCAGGGAAACATATCAAGGCCAACAAAAACTTAATAAAATATGAAAGGACAACTCAATATCTACAACCATACAATAACAATATTGTTGCGGCGCGCAACCCGATCGCTTATCATCTAACATTGTTGCGGCGTGCAACCCGATCCAATATAATATCTGTTGCGGCGTGCAACCCGATTCAATATAATATTTGTTGCGGCGTGCAACCCGATCCATATATATATATATATATATATATATAATAATGTTGTGGCGCAACCCGTTCCAAATATATACCGTCAACAATAATCATACTTAACTATCCCGGCAAGGGATCAACAATAGACTACACCATCCCGGCAAGGGAACTCAACAGTACATGTATATACGTCCCGGTAAGGGAGAAACATATTTAACCAAACTTGTTCCAACATCTAACTACCTCGACTATAACCCAACTGGTTTCAACACCTAGCTCAAAGAATCATCAACCTAAGCGTCAGTAATATAAATTAAGAACACAATGCAAGGGAACCTCAACTCAACAATAGCCCGGAAAGGGGGCAACATAATGATCTCCTTTCTTTCTCACTTTTACTTCACAACTCGAACCAATGCTCTAGAGTTTCGATTATCACTTATACTTTTACAATTTGTTATACAACTGGAGCCAACGCTCCTCAATGTTTATAGGTCACAATTCCTTCCACAACTTTACACAACAAATAGAAATCTTCATCAAGGCATGAATAATACAACGAGATCATGAAAATCACAATATAAGACTCACGGTCATGCTTGACACCAACGCATAGATACTCGTCACCATGCCTATACGTCGTACTCAACGAGAAACAAAGAGCAAAATAGGACACAACTCCTAATCCTTCAAGCTAAGGTTAGACCAAATACTTACTTCGATGCCACCAAATGTCATATGGACTTACTCGTGTAATGAAATCATCAAAATAACCTCATGCACATCAAATTAAATCTCGAGATCAATGAAATTTTCTCAAAACTTCTTTAAACATAAATTTTTGCAATTTAAGTCTGAATCAAGTCATGTGACATTCGTTTTTCACCAAATTCCACAGAAATGTCTTAAATCATATATAAGACCTGTACCGGGCGCCGGAACCAAAATACGAGCCCGATACCATCATGTTCTAATCAAATTTCATTTCAAATTTCTTTAAACAATTCCAGAAAACAATTTCTTTTAAAAATTTATTTCTCGGGCTTCGGACCTCAGAATTCGATTCCGGGCATACGCCCGAGTCCCATATTTTCCTACAGACCCTCCAAGACCGTCAAATCACGGGTCCGGGTCCATTTACCCAAAACCTTGACCGGAATCAAATTAGCTCATTTTATAATCAAAACTTATCGTTTTTCACAGATTATCATATTTAAGCTTTCCGGCTATGCGCCTGGACTGCGCACGCAAATCGAGATGGCTCTAAATAAGGTGTTCAAGGCCTCAAAACACAAAATTTTCGTTTTAAAACAAGTGATAACCTTTTGGGTCATCACATTTCTAGAGGTGCTTGATGTACACCGCAGGTAATGTTGGGCGAAGTGAAATGGGCTTCCTAAAACTGCTTGGCCATAGTGTTAACTGCTAATTGTTCCTTGAACTGTTCATTCAGGAAGTTCTGCAAGACATATTGATAGTTGTTGCTTGTTGTTCTCTTTTCAAAGGAAAGGAATAATTGGATGTTCACTGCCTGGATAGCAACATTCGAAATATTGAGAAAATAATCCTTGCGTTCCTTTATAACTCCTTCTGTATATTTGACATGTTTTTTTCCCGGAGGATATAATCAATTGTTCTTCTCTCGAGTAGTTATTTTTTTCCACTAAATTCATATGGTGTGTTGTTGAGACATTATTTATTTTGAAGCCTTCATTTGGAGAAATAATGAGGAAGGATGCTCAAAGAAAGAAATAGCATGCAATAAAGCTTCATCAAGTTCAAGTCCTCATACGACTATACTTCTATGTCTGAACTATACTGATGTATTTTTGTTGGGAATGTATATATAATGGTTCTTGAAAATTAATTCCATTCTTGTTCCAAGATATGGTAGAATTCTAACGTCGTCCAATGCATGATATAGTGATATGCCATAGAAATCTCATCTTTGTGGCTATGGAGGAGTTTATCACATTCTTTTCGGGTAACTACTTTGAATATTGGCTAAAACAATAGACAGTTGTACTGCATATTATGCTTCTTCTTTTTTTTTTGTGAATTTCTGTTATGTTTATGTAGCGATGTTGTATCTATATACTTAGTGATTGCCGAGTTAATTTGAATTCAAATTGGGTTTTCAAAAATCATTATTTATTTGGATTGAGTGTTGTTGTAAATAATTGGGAATATGGTTTGGAGTTTATATCTCAATTTTGAGGGGTTTTGGTGAAGATTAGACTTGATTTTGGCTGAATTTCAGATTGAAACTCGAAGAAGAAGAAGAAGAAGAAGAAGAAGAAGAAAACATGACATACATTATATTACAGCAATTGTAGAAAAATTGTAGACTGTTGTTTATTTATTTTTGAGCTTTTGTGTTTTTGTGTTAAAAGTTTTGATGGGAGCTTGTTATTCCACTCCGTCTGTTTTGGAGCTAACTTGTGCAGAGGAGAAGATATTTTTTAAGTTATATATATATTGCTATACCTTTAAATTCAAGAAAGCATGGTTGTATTGTATTTAAAGAGGTGTGAATTTGTAGAATAGATTGAATGTGAGGAATAAGTCAAATAAAACTCACAATGACTTGTTTTCTACATTTAATCTACAACAAAACTACATATCATTTGAAGAATTAATATGAAAATACAGAATTTCAATGTTTCTACAAATTATCTACAAAATATCTACAAACTGTTCATAACAGAATTTATCTTTCTTTTCATGCATGTTCGTCTGGAACACTAAAGTTACTTGATATGCCAACATCTCCCATTATAGAGGAATACAACTTATCTACAATTTTCTACAACTTTCACACATTATTTCCACCAAGTGAAATACAACTACAATAACATAAAACTTACATACAAATTTTATACAAAATTTATACAATATGTCTTTTGTATATTTTGTATCTGATTTATACATACTAAAAATAATTTTCATACAACTAATTATATATTATACAACTTATCTACAAATTATCTACAATTTTCGTACATTTCTACTAAGTTATATACAACTACAATATAATACCACTTAAATATAATTTTTATACAATGTTGTTCAATTTTCATACAATAGTTAAATGAATAAAAGAAAAATAAATAAACAACATAATACAATTTTTCTACAATTTAACTACAATTTTTCTACAATTTCTTTTTACAATTTCTGCAATATAATGTATGTCATGTCTTCTTCTTCTTCTTCTTCTTCGAGTTTCAATCCGAAATTCAGCCAAAACTAAGTCTAATCTTCACCAAAACCCCTCAAAATTGAGATATAAACTCCAAACCATATTCCCAATTATTTGCAACAACACCCAATCCAAACAAATAATGATTTTTGAAAACCCAAATTTGAATTCAAAGCTTTTTAATGGCTGTCAATGGTGGAATTGCTGCTCTCTTTTTCTTTGCTTTGTATTACTGAAATTTGGACATAATTTCGTTTGATGTAGAAGAATTGTAGAAAATTTAGTCGTTTTTGATTTGTGAATTGTAGAAGAATAATCAATTCGTTTTTGAATTGTAGAAGAATAATCAATTTGTTTTTGAATTGTAGAAGAATAAATCTGTTTGATGTAGAGACGCAAATTTGAAATGAAACTAACGAAGAAGATTAATGTGCGTGATTTGCGTTTGGAAGATCTGGAAGAATATTTAATCCCCCAATTTTAGCGCGCCTAAATAAGGAAGCCTACAACTACAATGATTCCTTATTTAATACATGGTCTATATTTTGTAGAAATACTATTAGCATGAAGGGTAACATGCAAACTATGAACATATTTGGTAATATAGTTTCCTATATGGTATAGGAACGAAAATTTTCCTAGAAAAATTAAAGTTCTAAATATTAGGAGAATAATTAAATGACTATTCTTAAATATAAGAAAAATAATTAAATGACTATTCTTATATATTAGGAAAATAATTAAATGACTATTTTGTCTAGTGAAAACTCTATTTTAAAAGGGTAAAAAAGGTGAACGACATTTCGGCCCCGGCCCGACCTGTAGGTCCGCTAACGTAAAGCGAGGAGTTGAGCCTGAACTGGCGCTAAGAGCCTCCGTGCTTTTAATATAGTATAGAATAGATAGATAGATACAAATATATATTAGTACATATTCGTCAAATCTTTTAGCAAGATTAAATTAACATTAACGAAAAGTGCTGCTCTGACCAGACTATACTTAACAGAGATCCTTAACCAATTGAGGGTTTAACGTGACTAAGGTTCTAATATAGTGCAATAAAAAAAATTATAGTCGTCTCACCCCTAAATTTCGTCTTATTATTTATACCTCCTACCTAATTTTTATCACATGCCGAGTAATTTGACATTGCTTTAGTAATTATATTGTTTTAGCAAAAAAATTGAACGTCCAAGAATGCTAATTTATATTGAATATTCAACTTTATTATATTAAATAACTTTTCAACAATTTCTTCTTTCATTTAATTATTTCTTATATAACTCAAAGTTGTATTCAATCATATGAGGTAAAATAAACGAAGTAAAAGATCCACCAAGACAATTTAAGCTGATTTCTATAAAGACGAATTCGTTGATTTTTCTCAGAGTGAAACTTCACAGAACTTGTAATTAACAACTTCCTTCAAATAGGAGAAGTTAAGATGCTCACTTAATACTCCAGAAATTTGGAGCAACAAGTCAACAACATACCCAGTATTATCCCACACTGTGGGATCTGGGGAGGGTAGTGTGTACGCAAACCTTATCCGTACCTTGTGAGGATAGAGAGGCGGTTTCCAATAGACCCTCGGCTCAAACTGAGAATTTTGGAGCAAAAGATCACAACATCTTGAACTGAACACTGAAGACTGACTATACAACTCAAGGCTCCAATATCACTAAAAGAAAAAAGGAAGTCATTGACAACCATTTTGATAGATGAAGTCCCAAGAACTATCAGAGTGGATTGACAGGATTTTAAATTCAGCAAGGAATAAGCTTTATGCTGTAACTTAGGTATATTCTTTAATTGCAATTCCAAAGGGTACCAAAATATTACCAGAAAAGTCCAAATCTTCATTAACCACCAAAAGAATTCCCCTCATATTTGTACACTTCATTCAAAAAACATAAACATTCTTAACTTCTCCACAGAGGAACACAGAGAGGGGATCAAAGGTTCTGTATAGGGTGTGGTTTGGAGTATGGGAAGAAGAGGTAGAGAATTGCCAAAAGACTAATATATACAAGTGGTACAGTATTAGATTTGCATCCTCAAACGCCTGTGTTATATGAAGCTGCTAAACTGACCCCAAGACCAGCAGTTTGAATTTCACAAAAAGACGCGCACCTGCTACCCAATATAGGTACAAAACCTGTTTAACTAATCTTCAACCTGTTGGAGCTTTCCTGCACACAACAGAAAATAAAAGCATCAGGTTCCATTTTGTTTGAAATTTTGCTCAGCTGCACACAACTAACATACTGAAAAGAACAGCTTCTATTTTTACTTTGGAACTCGATGCACATATCAGTTCATTTCGCGAATTGGATACAGAAAGATAGGATTCTGTATCCCGTGAACAATGTATCTATCAGAAAGTGAGTTTCATCCAGAAATTGAAACCAGTATCCCATGAAACCAGTAGTCCCAGTAAGTTTGACAAAAATCACTATACAAGGAGTCGCTTCTTACTCTTCTGCACAAATACTAAAACACTATCAAACACCACCTTTTTTTAAGATCAACAACTTCTTCCGAGGATTGGACTCAGAATCGATGTTATAATGAATAGATAAAAAGAGATACTCTATATGTGCCAGAAAAAATGCACAATGCAAGCAAATAATGAGCTTAAACACCTGCAAGCGGTTTGTAAAACCATCTCATGGAAAAAGAAATAAAAAGGAGAAAAGGACGAGAGAATAGATAAGGTGGTCAGTGTACAGTGTGCTCATACATTTTTGTCACTGGTTATGTAAGACACAACCACAGTTATGTCGTCCAACTTCCCACCATAGTAACGGAAGCCAGCTTCTTGAGCTGCAGCAGAGAAAGGAGTTTGCCTGTTTTTGTCCTGTGCCCTTTGTCGAGCCAATGCGGCTATCTTCTGAGCTGTAACCTGAGGTGCTAAGCCAGCTCTCGTGGCATGCACCACGATTGCAGTTATATCGCTGTTATACAAATTGTCAAACAACCCATCAGTGCCAGCTATGATGACATCTCCTGGAGCAACTGGTATTTTATACACCTGCACCCGAGGCCAGCCATTCAGTTTAACAAAGAATTAGATTACAGAACTATTGGATGGGAGAAACCTATAGTAGACCAGTTGAAAGAAAAATTAGAGTGACGATCGACTCATCATATTTACAGTTGACACAACATTCAACTTGAGGTATAAACGCACTGCAGAGGGTGTCGGACGCCACAAAATCTAAATTATTCGAATTTTGCAAGAATAATATTAGTCAGACCATTCAAAAGTCAAGTCATCTAACGAGCATGTGCCAAGAGTCTAAACAAGGGAGAGAGTGACAGTACAAGTTAAGTTGATTAAAAAAGAACAAAAACGTTCCAAAGTCTCTCGAGATTCAGCTCAATAAGGAAAATGAATAACCAGATGGATTCAAATCAAAAACAGGTTATTCTATCATCATTTGATCACTATTTATCATTATCCAATCCCAGTTCCCGTTTATACTTTTGCTTAATGAAAAGATTTCTTTACTTGTACCATCTCGAAATCTTGAATTTCTTGAAAAGGTTATTCGATTGATGGGATTTGGCAAGAGATCAAGATTCTCTGGTCAGGCTCAGACTGACAGCTTATAAAGATTTCTTTTATACTTTTGCTTAATGAAAAGATTTCTTTACTTGTACCATCTCGAAATCTTGAATTTCTTGAAAAGGTTATTCGATTGATGGGATTTGGCAAGAGATCAAGATTCTCTGGTCAGGCTCAGACTGACAGCTTATAAAGCAGCTTAACAAAGGCTTTTCAATTTCAATTCATCTGAGCTTTAACTTATTTATTCGGAGACTTTAGGAAAACAGAACCTCTACCGCATGTTATATAAGATGACAAGAAGACCACTTATAAACATACCTCCCCAGAGCTTGGTAAGTCACCAGCACTACCACTCTCTAGCTGAAATGTAAAATTGAAATCATGCTGCTGCACGGGGGATCTGAAAACAGTACATCCATCTCTAACCACCAGGAATCCGCTATCTCCTAAATTAATGGCATGGAGACCCTGAGAAGAGAGGAAAAAGGATAAATTTAACATGAGTAGAGATATAAGCTTCTGTACAGCCTCACATCGTTTTAATTTCATTTTCCTGTTTTAGTCACAAAACAATTATTTCTGTGCACATAGGCGTATACAGTGGCTAAAGAGGTCTAAAAGTCTTTTGCCTGGAAAAAAAAATTCATCATACTCTGAATCTCAGCGTAGGAGTAGCCGATTAAAAAAAGGTTTACTCCCATACCTCAACTCCATCAAGCTACACCTGTGTCCCAAAATGACGCTTTTACTTTCATCTTCGGGCTGGCAGAAAGTGTTTTCCTTAAAAGGAAGGTTTCAATGCATGTTTTATAACTTAAAAAATTATGAGGGACCCATTAACACTTTTTTTTTGACAATGTAACAGGGACCCATTAACACTTTCCTCAATACAACTTTTTCTTCTTCCTGTTTTTTAGAAACCCAAACGCATTGTATGGATCCACATATTCCCCTAACGAATAATAACTAACTCCACTGTCTAGGTATTCTCTTAATAATCTTGCCATGCCGTGCTGTGCCGTGCTGAAGCACAATTATTAAATACTAAATTAGGACACAGGTATTTTTTCACTCTCCTAAAGTTCATATAATGCGCAGAATGGAAGATACAAATTTACATATATACCTCATCTGTAAGGGCAATAATACAGGCAGTTGAGGACCCTTTGGCTTTTGTGTGTATATAAGCTTTCTCCAGGACCCTGGCTGGATCTACTGAACCTTTTGGTTCCTCGCAAATTGCACTTACTGCGTTTGACATGAGTTCTCGGGCGTATTGCCCAGCATCAACACCAAGATCAGCCCATCCACCAACACCATCAGCTACACCAATTACTTGTTCATCGATGCAAATAAAATGAGCGTCCTCGCCACCTTTTTCTTCTTTATCAGGATGAGGCAGGTAACATGACCCTGAATTAAGCTTCAGGCTTCGATCGATATGGATATTTCTGAAATGTGTCAAAAGAAAGATATGATTTAGGAAAAGAAACATGAGGGTTTAATTTTGAAGTTAGAATGACACTGAATTGAGTAGTCTTACATAGTAGCATACATCTAGTTAATTACTAAGTAGATATTCTTAGAACTCCAAAGCAAGCAGCACCTCAAATTTAGGGACACTCTCATTTAGTGATAGTTCTGTGGTGCTGCTCATGAATTGGTTGTATGCAGCAACACATTAAAGACACCTATTCATTCACCAATGGAAGTGGTAGAGATAGAAATTAGCCTAAGGCAACAAGATGTGCAGGTTTCGAGCTATCTGCCTTTTTCTGCAAAATTTAAATTTGAGAAACTTCAGGATGAAACCTTTAACCCCACCTGAACTCACCTACTGACTTGCTAATCAAAATACTTGGGTCATGCAGAATGAGAGAAAAACAAGACTGTTTGAAGGGGTAAAGCGTGATTTTCTACAATTGAGGGACAATATACTGTTTCAAGTTTCTTTGTTGGTGCACCAATGAGGTCCCTTTTTTGTATAGAAAATTGGATGTTCTTTTGCAGAGAACCATATTTGATTGTAGGTCCTCTACATTTTGGCACTGCTTGTATACATGAGTTTATCCACACACTGATGAACTTATTTACCTTAAAAGGACAAAAAGAAGGGGATGCAAGGAACTTGTCAGGCATAGCTTCCAACTACAATCAGGACGGGAGCTAGTAGCCCGGCTACTAGGTTAGTGTTTGGGTGAACCCAGTAGCTTTTGCTCAAGCGGGTGTATTTGTGTTTAAAAATCATTTAATATATACAAATATTAAATTTAGAACTCAATTACTAATACTTAAATTCATTGTTCTAAAATCCACAACCTATAAGGTTGAAACTCTAGCCCCGCCGCTTGTTCCTAATCTCTAGTAATTAAAAACCCAAAGGGATGCATAAATTAGCTTATCTATTGGACTTAACTTAAACATGTTAAATTCAAAGAACACCTCCATTTTCAATTTCAGTGAGTGAGAACCAAATGCTACTATCGAAAATGACTTTGCTATCAAGTTTTAAAACCATAAGGCGGTCATCATAAGCCTAGTTCCGTATCTCAGCTCAACAATGTGCAATCTTAGAAATCATAATGGAGTAAGTGAATGCGAAACGAGAAGAGAAGGTAGTTATAAATTTCTCCAGATCCAGCAAATTTTCTAGAAGTTGATTAGCTGTTATTCTTTTTAGATAGAGTATGTTATTTGCTGGAATCTTTCCTGCAGGAAACTTCAAACCATGTGCACCCTGGACTTTCCTATTGATTAGGCTTTGGTCTAGTGGTTGAGTGGGTTAGACACACATCATGGATCCGAATCCTACAGAAAAAAGCCTGATATTTAAGTGGAGAAGGCTAGAGAGGCAACCTATTATCAGCAGAGTTTCGGACCATGCACCACCAACCCTCGGGGATTTCTCAGTAATGACAACAACTACGCCTCAGACTCGGTTACAAAAAGAAAGAAAAAAGTCGTCTTAAATAAATAACAGCAAAGTCGAGGAACATACTGTTCAGGAGAATTTGCTGAACTTGCAGGGTGTACCTCACGCAGAGAGTTATCAAAGGACACATCAGGAGCAGCGCCAGCAGAGATACATGCAGCTGAAGAACTATGAAAACCCTTGAATCCAAATCCTTCATAAACATTTGAATTGCCCTTGCTCTGTACAGCATTGTATGTGAAATATCCATAGACAACAAAGTTGTTGGGCTGATTGTTATTCCTCACTCTCATGCTGGCTTTTTGAGAATTGTCGAAATTTCTATTGTTATACATAGTAATCGGACTATTTACTAAAAGGCAAGGTTTGAGATGCCTTGAAGTCATTTTACTCGAGGAACAGCCAACAGAAGTTCTTGAACCACAAATGGCCATAGGAGCTTTATGAGAGTCAGTCTCTATAGAAACTTGAGTAGGCTCAGATAATAGGCGATCAATGTGATAGCCACAGAACTGAAATGCATGCCCTGAGACAGATGGTATAGACAATGCACGAGGAATAGCACCGACCACTGAAAAATTCTTCCTCTGATTAACTATATTCAAATTTGCCTGTGCAGCCGCTAAAGTTCCAGGCCGTACAATCACATGCAGGTCAGACAATCTTGCAGATGGCACAGAACAGAAGAATTTCCCGAACAACAATCTCTCTTCTGCGACCAAAATCTCCACCAAATCTTGGAGCCTACTTTCTTGCCCAGATATGGATTTCTTGATTCCCTGCCTCACTGCACCACCTAGTCTAAAAAGATAATTACTCTGCATATTGGCTTATCAACCACAGAACACAAGAAATATCATTACTCCCAGTACATCTATTAACAAGCATACATTTGGTCTTCACTTGACAACTCAGACACCTGCTGAACACGGGAACCAGCATTAGGAGGAACAGATCATAAAGAACATACTAGAGAATATACAGGTAATATATAGCAAAATCCACCATATTTCATATCAAACAATTGCTGCTTACTATACTAACTAAATCAACACAAAACTCAAAAGTTCCATACTAAACCCTCAGTATGCGCACATCCTTTTCAGCCTTGACAGTTTGGTTTACCCAGTGCTCATACTTGTGAACTGCCCTGACGCCGACACCACGGTTAAAAGGGAGTCCGAAGGCACTAAGCTCCCACTATGTGCGGGGTGGAGAAAGGCCAGACCACATTCAGTCTTACGTAGGCAGCCTTACCTTGCATTCATGCAAAAGGCTGCCTCCACAACTTGACTCGTGCCCTCCAGGTCATGCAACTTTTACCGTTGTGCCGAGGCGCCCCGACACCGCGGTTATAAAGGAGTAATTATAAATAAAAAGCTCAAGTAGAAACTAGTACATTATTTTCACCAAAAAAAAACTACTAGTACATTATCAAGCTACTTGCCTAGAAGGCTAGAACCCAGAAAAGAGGAAGAATTGCAATAAATGTTGGACGACTGGAGACAGGCTCTTGAGTTTAAGGGTTTCAAGCTGAGCAGGACGAAACGGAGTACCTGGAGTGTAAGTTCAGCACTGAGCCAAGGGAAGTGGGTGTGGAAATGAGGCTTGAATCACAGGTCATCCCAAGTAGTGGCAATTTCAAGTACCTTGGGTCGGTTTTCCAGAGGGGACAGGAGATCGACGAGGATGTCACACACCGTATTGGGGTGGGGTGGATGAAGTGGAGGTTGGCATATGGAGTCCTGTGTGACAAGAGAGTGTCACCAATACTCAAAGGTAAGTTTTACAAAGCGGTGGTTAGACCGGCCATGATGTATATGGCTGAGTGTTGGCCTGTTAAGTACTCACATATCCAGAAGATGAAAGTAGCAGAAATGAGTATGTTGAGGTGGATGTGCGGGAAACACTAGGATGGATAAGATTAAGAATGAAGATATTCGGGAGAAGGTAGGCGTTGCTCCCATTGATGACAAGATGCGGGAAGCGAGGCTCAGATGGTTCGGACACGTACAAAGGAGAATCTCAGATGCTCCGGTAAGGAGGTGTACGCGGCTGGCTTTGGAGGGCACGAGAAGAGGTAGAGGACGACCTAATAAGTATTGGGGAGAGGTAATCAGGCAAGACATGGCGAGACTTTAGATTTCCGAGGGCATGACCCTAGATAGGAAGATGTGGAGGTCGAGTATTAGCGTTGTAAGTTAGGAGGTAGTTGAGTCTTTCTTTACTTCGTACCTTTGTGAGGCTAGTCTAATAGGGTTTTTGTCGGAGTCAGTTAGCGGCAATGTTTTGCCTTACTACTCTTTCGTTTTCCATAGTGCCGGGTCTATGTAGTGTCTATCGCTTTTGCTTTGCATCTACTTTCTCACTTTTGCTTTGCATCTACTTTCTCACTTTATGATGTTATTTTTCCTATGGTTTCTATTGGTGGTACTGATATTGTCTCTTTTCGTCTTCTTAAGCCGAGGGTCTTTCGGAAACAGCCTCTCTACTCGCTCAGGGTAGGCCCTCGAGCAGGGGTAAGGTCTGCGTACATACTACCCTCCCCAGACCCCACTAGTGGGACTTTAATGGGGTTCCTAAGCTAGCCACCAAAATAAATTGCTATCTCCGTTAAAAAAGCAAATTCAAGGCAATCTCAAGTCTCAACCTTTATTAAAGCCAGTCAAACACAATACTACATCCCTAAGCAAATCAAACACGTCATACAACTATCCTTCCAAAAGCCACAAACATCTGACCACAAAATTATAAAAAGAGATAAAAAAGATCAAAGCACAGAATATGAAACCTCATATAAAACTCCAAACGGACACCCACAACAAAGTAAAAAAAAAAAAAAAGAAGGGTCTTTAAAAATTGCACCTTTACAGATAACAAAAGCCAAGAATAGACAAGCTAGCAAAATCACAACAACTCAGTACTCAGCCTTCTCTCCCTTTCTCTCTAAACCCAACTTCTCTTATCTCCTGGAAGTTGGCTGTTGGGTTAGCTCAAACGTAAAAGTCCAGAAACTTCCTGTCCCCTGAAGAAACTTTTAGGCTTCGGTTGATTTTCCCACCAACAAAACAAAACCCTATTATCACCACAGAAAAGTTTTCACCTTCCAATCCAATTTGAGATTTGACATTTGAGAATCCTTTTACTTGTCATTAATGATGACCGTTAAAATACGAATAAAATGGCAAGAAAAAAGAAGTGTGTGGTGACGAATTTAGTGCTCGGAATGTGCTAATTTATGCCCAGACAGCTGTTATATATGTAAGGGTGTTTTGGTCATTTCGAACATAATAAGTACTACTACAAAATTGGAGATCTTACGTTAGTATCTTTTTCATTACCTATTCTGCAGGTGAAGTTTGACGGGTGAGTGGATAATGGAGCCGACTTAAGGCGTGTTTGGTCCCATTTTATGGGACTACTGAAGGGTAGAGAACAGCGCAAATGTGTGAATCATGCCATTTCTTTTTCTTTCCTTTTTTTTTTTTNGGGGGGGGGGGGGGGATTTATAAGATTTAAAAAAAAATCACCATTTTCTTAAGCTAAAGTCAAAATATTCGTTTTGGAGACAACATAATAGAAAAGGGAGATCATAATTTGATCTAAATATGGAGAAACATTGTCGTATATAGTCAGTGAGATAAATTTAAATAGATAAATATGAACAATGAAAATTTATATAGTAAATTAATTACAACTTATTTGAGTTTGAAACATAATTGCTATTGTCATATCACTTTTAAGTCCTAGTAATCTAACCAATGAAGCATTTGTATATTGGTTATCAAATTAAGGTGAATATATTAGGATTAAAGTCTTGAATTCATGTTGAATCGAAGGGTAGTATTTGACCAAAAAGTGTTGAACTTTTTATTAAACTAATTAAATAAGAAGACTTTAAGTAAATCTTAACCAATGATAATTTATTCTATATCTAAGATAGAAGATGAGAGTAAGCAAGCATATCACACATAAGATTTAACTATAACAGTGATTGAATCCCATTATATAAGAAGAGGATGATAATTTTCATAATATCAAACAACAATTAAGAAGACGTAAATGAGAAAGGTCACCGATCTTTAGCAAGGTAGAACCCCACACATTTGATATGATTAGACTAACAATATATATTGAGCATCTGAGCTTCCTTGCTTCTTCTGCTTCGTGGTGGAGAGAAAGATGAAGATTTCTCTTCCTTTCAGGAAACATGTCTGTTTTCTCCGCCCCCTTTTTTCTTCTTTTCACTTAGTTTATATACTAGGTCTTCTCCCTTACCCAACGGTCATTAACCATAGTACTTAAGTCATTTGACTATATTACGTGCTGACCCCTTGAAATGCCATAATATCCAATTCGCCTCTCAGGCATTCTAAATACATGATTTCGGCCGTGGCCGAGGTGCGTCTCATTACAGCGTGGTGTGGATACGACAGTCTCAAATAACTTTTCGTCGTTTCTTCCCACGCCGATTGTCGTCTGACCCATACAGTAGTATTGATAGTTTTACAACTAGTGTGTCTAAAGGGTGTAAGCCAAAACATAATAAGTGTATGTACCTAATTCTGAATTTTGCTCCCATGGATGAGTTTATTATGGTTGGTAGTCTAAACCAAATTTTATGTTTGGTAGTCCTAACTTTCAAATTGAGCAACTACTCATTAAGTCAAAACTTAGGCCCGTTAGGCCATAAGAAACTTTTCACATTTTTCGAATTTTTTATATTTTTTTGGGAATCAATGTTTGTCCATGAAAATTTCAAATTTTTACTTGAATTTGAATTTCGAAATTTTTCGAAAATTTGAAAAACTCCAAAAAATTGTTTTTCAAAAATTTCACTTCAAATCACTCACAAAATTCGAAAATAGCTCCAAATTGTATTTGTGTCCAAACACAACTCTAATATTCAACTACCATTTTCACTTAATTTTTATTTTTATTTTTACTTTTTTCGGGAATTTTTCAATTTTTATGTCCAAACGCCGACTTAATGTAATGTTGTCTTTAAATCTGTTACTCTAACAAACTTTCAGGTGGTTCATTCAAGAACAGACTCAGTGATAAGCAGACAGAATGAAGTTGAGAAATCATAATTTGAAGCTTGATAGTGCTTTTTACAGCTTTACTAATAGTGAACTTAATTAATGTTAATAGCACAAAAATTTTGAACTCTGCTTTTACTATATAATATATATATCTTCTTCTTTTTTTATGCAGCAAAAGAGGAATTGAGATAGCTTAACTTTAAAACAAATAAACAATGACTAATAGACCATTAAAATTCGAGCTCCTAAGAATTTGAGTTAGAGGTTTTCGGCCTCTGGATTTGCCCATTTGGGGACAGAATGTGCTTCCATTTACTAAAAAAAACATGAACATAAAATAACAAAAAAATAATTGTTAGGACATGTATAAAGCAGTATGAACGGATTCATATAATTGATCCAACTTGAAACTTAATTGATCATCATTAATGGACTATAACTGTTCACACTGTGAAAGTATTATCCTGTCAAAGTCTTGGCTAATTGATCGAAGTCGTTAGCTCCAGTAGATCCATAGATCAAGGAACAAATAGGGTGGGTAGACCTAAGCACCACATTACAACGGGCCACTGCAAGTTCTACATCCACTACAAAAATCCACTTCAGATAACCATGCCGAGAGCTGACATTTTTGGATATAGAGATGTTTCTATAACAGGTCATTAACTATAAAAGTCAAGTTTTTTTTGAAATCAATAAATATTAGAACAAACACGAATGTTATAGAGATGTTTGACCGTAAGTTAAATCTTCCTAAAAAGGATGGGAGCACCATATTGGGGCTGTAAAGTTAGACGCATAGTTGGAGCATGAACATATGAAGGTGACACTGTAAAAGAGAAATTCTGAACTATCATTGCTAGGATGATTTTGGCTTCAACCATGGCTAAGTTTTGCCCAACACAAACTCTTGGACCTAATGCAAAAGGAAAATATGAAGCCAAATGCTTTCGAGATTCGGCAAATCTCAGAGGGTTGAATTCCTGTGCATATTTTCCCCATATCTCAGTGTCATGATGTACAGCAGCTACGGACACATAAAACTGTGTATTTGCTGGAATTTCAAGGTTTCCCAACTTAATATCCTTAGAAGTTCCTCTTGTCAATGCCACGATCGGTGGGTAGAGTCGCATTGTCTCATTGAGAATCATTGTCACCTGTTTGAATACACAAATGAAAGAACAAACATGGGAAAGGTTAGAAACTCTTAAGATAAAACTATTACGAGAATAGAACTTGGACTTAATTTCATCTCAAAAGTTATCTGATGAGGTAAGGATTATCCAAGATCATAAAAAGATATAACAATTCATTTCTGCAACTAATGTAGGGCGCTTAACACACACCTCGACACACTTAAGATTGGTTCTGAGAGTATAAAATGGGTCCGATATTGAATAAATCAATAATTGAGATGAGTTTGACTCTGATACTATGTTATGTTAAGAGAAATAGACTTTAGGTTTAACTCAATATAAGAGCATCCCAATGCACAAGGTATCCCGCGTTCATACAGAATCCGGGAAGGGACCACACCATAAGGGGTGTGATGTAGACAGCCTGCACTAATGCAAGCATTAGTGATTCTTCCACGGCTCGAATCCATGACCTATAGGTGATACGAAGACAACTTCACCCTTGACCTATAGGCCTAACTCAATATCAAAAACTAAATCATGGGAGCGAGCAAACGAGATCATATAAAGAGGCGACAACTAGTTCTATTCCCTCAACTAACATGGGACACTTACAAATAGATAGAGAACATAGATAAGAGATTCTGAGATATTGAACTTACAATCTTGAAATCAGTCAGATTCTCTGCATTTGGAAGGTTGTTACCGTTGCAAACTCGAAAAACTTCATCTCGAGCTTTTTCTTGCCATTCTTGATGCAATGCCAAAAGAAGAAGTGCCCAAGTTAACAAGTTGGAAGCAGTTTCTTTCCCAGCAAAGTAAAATGTCTTGCACTCATTTATGACTTCTTCCACCCCAAATCCATGTTCTGCTTCACTTGCAGACATTAGCAAACTAAGAAGATTCTTAGAATTTTCTCTCCCTTTACTACTCTCAATCAGCTTCATTACTGACTTTCGAGTTTCTTTCTCTAGTTTCCACCTCATCATGTTATTTTTCGTGGGCAAAAACCTGTTTATTAAGACATCTCGCACTCATAATTAAAAAAGGGCAGTCCGATGCACAAAGCATCCCGTGTTCACGCAGGGTCTGGAGAAGGGTCGCGCCTCATGGGGGCAGGGCAGATCCAGCCTATTACATGTGGGTTCCTATGAACCCAATATTTTTTACGTATATGTATTAAAAAATCCACTAAATATCTATAAATATTTGATTGTGAACTCAGTTACTTATTATATATTTACTTAAGGTCACCATAAGAATCTTTAAACTTTAAATCTTGGCTCCGCATCTGCATAAGTATGTGATGTATGCAGCCTACCCTGATGCAAGCATCAATGGCTAATTCCACATCTTGAACCCATGAACTTTACCGTTGCTCCAATGTTCCCCTTCGTGCTCATAATTATTTAGGAGTAAATTTTTTGTGAAGATAAACAATGTTCAATAGCAAAGCTAATATGTACTAACCTAAATCCAGGAAGGTAGATGCTTCGAATTGCCTGCAAAGTAAGAGATATTTGTTGCTCTTGTGACTCAAATATGCGCTTCCCTTCTTCAAAACTACTCCCAAAAGCTGTTCTAGATATAACCTCAGCTGAGAGATCATTTAATTCTTTGAAGACTTCTATTTCAAATTCTTCCTTCTCTTCATTTTCTTTTTCCCATTTCTTCAACATTTTGGTTACACTAGTCACGATGTCCGGCACCCAAGCCTGGAATTCATCAAACCTAGCTTTAGTAAAAGGGACACGAATTTTGAGTATAGGCAGAGTTGCTACTTTAAAGTATACTCCAAGTAGCGAGGTCAAGGTTCGAGCCGTGAAAACAAACTCTTGTAGAAATGTAGGGTTCGACTGCGTGCAATAGACCTTTTTGGTCCGGCCATTCTCCGGATCTCACACATAGCAGTTTAGTGCACTGAACTGTCCTTTTCCAAGTAGCGAGAAGAACAAGTTCTAGTTATACAAATTTAAATTCAATACATACTCAATGATGAATGAACGGAGAAAAGTTGTAACGTAATGGAGTGAGGAATACCTTGAATCTTATGTAAGACAACTAAATACACCTTCTAGCAACCACCAACAAAAAAAAAACTAAATGCACCTTGACATGTCGCCG